ACTAGCTTGAAGCCCTATGTTCCACTGGGGAATGTGAAGGAAAAAAAAGTCAGATTGAAGGACAAATACTCGCCAATCGGAAAAAGTTAAAATCTAACGGACTCGTCTAGCAACCTGAAGATCCTGAGTTCTATTCGTGGTTATATTATGGGTGCACACCACTGAAGAGTCCGAAACTAGGACCCTTGATAATGTTCCTCTAAATTATGTCAATTTGAGATCAAACTTGAAACAAAGTAGACTTTTGCCATACGTCAAAGAATTAAAATCTCAATTCATTGACTATACACAAAAGGGAATACAAATAGGTAGTCTCACTCAGTCATACATAATGTTAATGTGAATAAACGCACAGACACACACACATGATGACTATTCAACTGTTATTCTACATAACGTACATAGAAGCGAAAACAGGTGTTTAGAAAGAACGATGGCTGAATTTACCATGCCTCTCTCACTCAGTAATTACATATTATTATATATTATATTATAGCTTGATTCCACACAGTATTTTGATACAAGTATGGAATTTTCAACGTGTGATATCGGTAGCCCAAATTTAGCAGGCCGACCATAGATATCAGTTGTGCGTCGGCGGGGGATCGAACCTCGGACCATGTGCATGGTCGGTGAGAGTCCTAACCGCTGTACCGCCGACGCAATAAGTGAAGTAGAAAGAACATACAAACATATGCATAAACTTTCCCCACTGAAAAGTCAACATTCTGGTCATTTCGAAAACCTAAGTAGTGAGTAGAAAGGTGGTACAAGATTGAAGATAAATCTTAAAATCGTGGAAAATACCCACTGGGACATTAGAGGGAGAAGAACAATAAGTTCAACAAAGATATCTTTTCGGCGATTTCATTCTCAAAAGCTGTGCACTCGCATTTATATACATTAGTTTACATGGATACAATTATTATTTATTTAATTCCACACACTAACGAAGGAGATAATAATTTTCAATTTGATATGAAAGCTTGAAGGTACGAATATTGATTACAAGGGGCTTAGAGACAAGATTACATAGGACTAGAGAAAAGTTACAACGTACGTAAAATTAATATTTAATGACTGGAGAAATAATTTTAAAGACGAATAAAAAGTGACAATTATTTTAATTTACAAAGTAAACAAAAATCTACCAAAGGCAGTGTGTTTCCGACTTCTTCGTACTGCAGAAGCTCTCGCCATATGCATCGAAAAGCCGGAGCTGTGTGTTCAACTACCTTTTACAACTACCGTGGACCTAGTTCGGTATGTTCCCTCATCCTTCGGTTTCTTGTTTTGTTCTCTGTGTGTATTTCTCTCTTTTTTCTTCTTTTTTTTGTTTTTGTCTCTTATTAGCCGACAAGTAATTCTACCTAATCTTTTCTTCTGTCTCTTCATTAGTATTATTTCGTCTTCTCAATTGTAATATTTTACATTTTCAACCTTCTTGTTCTCTACCCCCACCCGATTCAATTTCTACACCTCACTACCACTGTTACTGACTTGAACAATGCTCAATTTCTGTTACGTCATCCAACTTATTTGCTCAATTTGACTTCTACTTAGTATCTACTTGTAATTACCTCTGTTGCTACCCTGAACTAAGTTGAAACATTTTAGTCAGTTATATTACGTCATCTAGCTTACTAACTCACTCTTACTTTAGTTGCTGTCTGATTAACTTTGTTTATATATTACATCATTCTTGTATTAATTAATCAACTATCTAAACTTGACAAACCTCATGTACACACACACACAAATAATTATATATAAATGCGATTGTACAGCTATGTGAATGAATTCGCCCAAAAGTCTCTTCGCTGAACGTCTTCTCTTTCTCTCTCTTTGTCTTCATTCAATTTATCCCATTTTTTCAGTTATAAAATGAGTTATTTTAAGTTTGTTTCCATGCTCCTCCTGATCACACTTGTAATCGGTTTAGAATAACCATTTTACAGTTATATACTAATCCTGCGTAATTTTGTGTTTCTATGCCTCTTACAATCTATATTGACACCTCCCAACTTCCATTTCAAGTTGAAAATTATGATTTCAATTTGTTTCCTTGCTCATTTTGTTCACACCTGTAATTCATTCTATCCCTGCGTAAGTTTTGTTTCTAAGCCTCTTGTAATTCATATCAAGTTGAAAATAATTGTCACCTTTTATTCGCCTTTAAAATTATTTCTCCAGTTATCAAATATTAATTTTGTATACGTTGTAACTTTTTTCTAATCCTATGTAATCGTGTCTCTAAGCCCCTTGTAATCTATATTCGTACCTTCAAACTCTCATATCAAGTTGGAAATTATTATCTCCTTCGTTACTATATGGAATTAAATAAATAATAATTGTATCCATGTAAACTACTATATATATAAATGAGACTGTACAGCTTCTGAGAATGAAATCACAGAAAAGATAACTCTTTACTCAAGAGGATTAACACCTTGATCAAATTTGAAATCCAAAGTCTGAATTATATTTTTAACCAAAGACTTTTATCATGTAAGGCTCCCTCAAACATGTGGAAACTTTTGCCGAAATTACTGGCGGTGGTAAGCAAAGTATTTTTGTTCCCTCTTTTGATATAAATACTCATAACAGGTCATTCATACTCTCTCCTGCTGATGATAACATTACTAAGGCTACAAATCATAAGATTAGTGACATTCTCAAATGTCGGATATCTCTAGAACCTTCCTAAGGCCTTGGTCTTCATGGCGTACTACCTGCTGTTGTCCTCAGATTTGCTGATATTCTATGTTGTCCTCTTACAAACATCTTCAATGCTTCTTTTTCTAGTAACAGTGTACTCGTAGCATAGGAAGACATTGAAATTACCCCGGTACCCAAATCATGTACTGGTATGAATGTTAAATTTAAACCTATTGCAATTATTTCTTCTTTTTGAAATGAATAAAGAAATTACATTTACTTAAGATTGAAAATGTTTAATGGCTCCAAAGAATTCACAGATAAACGGAGCAGAGGTACTTCAGATGCTGCTGATTTCTGCCATCATAATATTATTATTTCCTGCTTAGACAAAGGAACCAGATGTCTTCAATGTACCTTCCTTGACTAGACATCCACTTTTAACTCTGTACCCACATGCCTTTTGTTAAATAAGCTCTCCCTGACACAAACTGACTCCTAGGCTGATAACTGGTTGCATTTCTATTTCTCGAACAGAATGCAGTGTACCGTATATAAAGGCAAATCTTGCTTACTGAAGTTTACCTTTTCTCTCTCCTCTTCTATGACTTCCCTTTTTCGAAAAAAATCGACTTCGTTAAATACTCTGATGACCTGACTGTCTCGTTGCCAATTACTTCTCGATTGGACTGTTCCGAAATTGATAGCTTTTTGTCAGACATAAGCCAGTGGTCTAAGCTAAAGAGTCTTACCTTTTTTTATTCCTTCACGTTGCCGGTGGAACATAGGGCTTCGAGTTTTTCTGGCAGTGTTTTATTTTTACAGGAAGTGGTCGCTAGCCTCATGCCAAACCTTTCCTCTTTACCAGATTTATTTCTGGCTTAGCGAAATAAAGATGTGCGTCGGCCGGGGATCGAAATTCGGACCATGTACATGGTCGGCGAACATCCTAACCGCTGTGCCACCAACGCACAGTCTAACCTTAAATCCCCATAAATGTCAACAGTTAACTTCACCTTCAGCCATAAATGTGATCTACACGAACTGGTCTATTGACAAGATGCTTGTAGCATAGCGAGTGTCCCATATCTTGTCGATTTCTAACCTATTACATTTAGAAATTTAGGCCATCAGGAATCACTCAACTTCTACTTTTACACTTTGTTAACTCTTGAATCTTACCTGCTGTTCTTTACTGCTCCCCCTAAGTCTTTCCTGGGCTACTCAAAACGGACTGCGTCATATATTGTGAAGCGTATTAAAGGTTGTCAGTAGGGCAAGTGGTGTACCACTAAGTCAGCTCGTTAATACTGTGGTCGACAGACACCCGAACTCATGTGAGAAATGGTCTAAATCCATTCTGTCTGACTCTCAACATCCTCTCCCATCACAATACTCTCCTTGCATCTCATCAGGTAGGACTAGAAGCCACTACAAAAGATTATGTGGTCACACAACCAATTACAAAAACTCAAAGATACCCTATTTATCCAGCGTTCTATGTGACACAGATAGTGTTAAGCATGAAACTTATAACTTACTATGTAATTAGCAAAATAAATGGCTCTTTCATCTTCTCCTATTTGTAATTAATGGTGACACTAATTCAATTATCTTATAATTTTAGCTATTAAAATTATATTATCATCATTTTACATTTTTTCAACTTTATTGTCTCCGCTAATAATAAAAAGCTGCTATTATCAATTTTGGTTACTTATATATCCTGTTACAATTTTTGTTTTGTTTTTACTGTTGTCGAGTAAGATTAGATGCAATATTGTACTCAAATGCTCAGGATTCCGCACCGTATCACAAGTACTGTTTTAGAATAAAGTAAATTATCATAACAATAATTATTATTATCATAACCAGTAGGGTGCAGCAGGTTGAAGATGAGGCAGTAACTCATCGAAGAAAACACTGCGAAGTGGTCGCACTATGTCATGAATTGGCAAAAGTTAGAATTCATGGGCTGACCATTGGATCGAGTCCCAGTGGCTTAATGGTCTACGAGCTCGCTAGCCTTGTAACCAGTAGGTCCTGGGTTCGAACCCCAAACTAGGCTGACGAAACAGGTGTCCAGTACTCCCTGCAGGTTTACCAGTGGTTCTCTAACTTATGTCAGCTCATTATGAAGCCCACCAGCCAATCAAACAAAATCCCTACAAAACCAATACTTGCAAATATCAGAACTATTATTACAATACCACCCCCCCCGAGCTTCTAGACGTACACATATATACAGATCAACACAAGACAGTGAAAACTACTATTGTGTATATATATAACACATTATAATTAGTAAAAAATATACTGAAAATTATATATAGTCAATAAATGCAATAATACTGAAAATAAAATAGAATAAAATAAAATAAAAACGAAATCACTGAAGTGTCCTTCTTCAAACAAAAGAAAAGACTATTTTGAGATAGAAAAAGGTATGACGAGAAGGATAACAGTGTAAGGAGAAAGTTAATATTACCAGTATATTATAGTATAAGTTAACAAGCCGATAAGAATCTTTTCAACTCAATTTTCAATGAAAAGAAAGAGCTCATTTGAAGTGTCAAAATAGCCTATTAAAACAAAACAAAAAATATTACGCAAGAAATAAAAACAGAAGAGTCGATTTGTTGTATTCATAAGGAAATGTTCAGACAAGACAGTAAAAAAAGGGCGAAACGAGAAAGAAAAAAAATATAAACTAAATGATTTATTCTACAAACTGTTGTTATATTGTCACAGTCCCACACTCCACATCCCCGGCAAACTCTCCTCTCTTTGCATACAGAGCATATATATTTACAAATATACACACACACACAAATAATCTCTATGCTGAATCTGATATTGTAGTCACTTCAAAACCTGCATCAAATGAATCAAAATCTTCACCGACAGCTAATGCAACAGCATCTATCGCTTCAGCTTGTTGACGTGCAAATACCCCACGTAGATAATTGATTAGACAACTATCAATAAATATTGGACGTACTGCACTAGAATGTGCATAATGTGGACATGATAGCTTAATCAACTCTGGAATAAAATGTCTATGAATTATTTCAATAGATAAACGATCATTAGCATCTTTTTGTAGACAACCATGAATAAAATGAATAAATTGTGATGAAAAACAATACAATGGTAATCTTGGTGCAGGTTGTTCTACAATATAAGCGAATAAATCATACATACCGATTGTAGAACGACTTTTTGGATCTGTCAGTGCTGAAATGTAAAAATTAAAACACTGATAGAGATATTAAAAAGTATGGAAGAAATGGAAAAATGTAGAAAAAAGAAATTTATTTAATGTCAACTGAAGTACTACTGTTTATTAACTAACTACACAGCCGTTCATCATCATCATCAGTAAGCACAAAACATATCAGCAGCCGTTAACTCCGGAAATTGAAGATTCAGGTTGTAAGTATGACTAATTTCGGTGTAATTTATTATTATGATTGTTTCCTTTAATTCCTAGAGGAACATAGGGCTTCAGCCACGCGTCTCCATTGCGTTCGATTCTCTGCTAGAGTCTTCACCTGGCTCCAAGTCTGCCCACACACTTTCATCTCCTCTTCACATGACCTCCTCCAAGTCAACCTTGCACTGACGACCAACTCGCCACTTCCCTTTCGGGTTCCACTCGAGCAATGGCTTGTCTAGTGATGTCACTTGATGGATTCCTCAGAGTATGGCCAGCCAATCCATCTCCATTTCTTCCTGCCTATTTGTTTCACAATCGGTTCCTGGTTGGTTCGCTCATCGCCAGAGATCTCTGTTGCTGATCTTTTCTGGCCGGCCATCTGATTTTGAGTAGTGAGCGAAGACAACTGTTAATGAAGGTCTGTAGTTTGTTCGAAGTACCCTTCGTGACGTGGCACCAAGTCTCTGATCCGTTTTGTGAGTAGCACTGACTTCATATTGGAGTTGAAAATCCGGATGTTATTTTTGATGCTGAGTGCTGTTGACCTCCACACAGACTTGAGAGTAGTGAAAGCTTGTCTTGCTTTTCCGATTCTTGCTTTGATATCCTCGTCAGTTCCGTCGGCCTGTAGTTGAAACGATGCTTCCCAGGTAGGTAAATGAGGTTGTTTCTTTCAGGTTCCTCCCATTTATGCTGATTGTTGTCTGTTGTTGTTGTGTAATTTACGCTACACTTAATCGATATGAAGACGGAGATAAGCACGACTAGTGGCAGGACATCACACTTGAACAGGCATTATTCAAATCTGCAATAGCCACATGTATACTGGTTCACCTGACAACCAGTCGAACATGTTGTATGACGACCTGATAATACTACCGGGTTGTCTACACCTACGAATGAGATTAAACCTGATGCCACACTGAGACTGAAATTTAAGTAACAAAATTCAGTGGGTTACAGAGTACTACGAATTCATCAGCGATGGCGGCATAAATCACGAAATGATAGAAGTTAGAATTTATGCGCTATTGTAGAATCCCGGTTATCCTTATGGTTGAATGTTCAACGGGGTGGTCGCCTTTTAACCTGATGGCCTAGGCTTCATCCCTTATTAGGTCTCATGTGTGTGTGTGTGTACTGATGAGGAGTAACAAACTAGGATGAAACAGCTGTCCCGTACCCCATGGTTTTTGATTATATCTAACTAATTTCGGTTCGTGACGAAATCTACACTAAAATTAATCCAAAGCCCTAAGAAAACTAACAATCTAAATTTAAATATCCAGCTAAATGTTTGCTGTCTTCACTCAATACTCAAGATCAGATGGCCGGCCAGAAAAGATCAGCAACAGGGATCTTTGACAATCAGTGAACCAACCCAACAGGAACCGATTGTGAAACAAATAGTCAGGAAGAAATGGAGATGGATTGGCTGGCCATACTCTGAGGAAACCATCAAGTGACATCACTACACAAGCCATTGCTCGAGTGGAACCCGAAAGGGAAGCGGCGAGTTGATCGTCAGTGCAAGAGTGACTTGGAGGAGGTCATGTGAAGAGGAGATGAAAACGTGTGGGCAGACTTGGAGCCAGGTGAAGACTCTAGCAGAGAATCGAACGCAATGGAGACGCGTGGCTGAAGCCCTATGTTCCTCTAAGAACTAAAGGAAACAATAATAATATAATATCGCTTCTCGGCTCTCTGAGCTAAGATCACGTGTGTGCGTCGGTGGCAGTGGTTAGGACTCTCGCCGCCCATGCACATGGCCGAGGTCCGATCGCCTGCCGACGCACACCTGATATCAATGGTCGGCATGCAAAATTTGGGTTACCGATATCACATGCTGAAAATTCCATACTTGCACCAAAAATACGGTGTGGAATCAAGCTATAAGGAGTGGGCTCTCCACTCGGACCACTCCCAGCCGACTATTTTATGGCCAGCCTCCAAAAACAACCCCTTATCATCAACTATCAACGACCTTCATCTCTACAAGAGATACATTGATGATACTTTCATCATTTGTGATGAGAAGCTGGATCCTAAAAACTTACTTCAAATCATCAACAACGCCCACCCAAACATCGACTTTACACTTGAGACCGAATCCGACGGAATGTTCCACTTCCTGGACGTCCATCTGACAAGAAATGACAACAACTCTTTGAAAAGGTCCATATACAAAAAGCCTACATGGACTGGACAATTCATCAACTTTCAAAGCTTCGTACAGCTAAGCAGAAAGAGGAACCTGATATACGCTCTTTCCTCGAGGATTCGGAAGATATGCAGTGAGGAAGTGATCGAAGAAGAACTGCGTAATCTCCGAAAAACCCTGATGGAAAACGGTTTCCCGCCCAAGTTCATAGACAAGAATCTCAAACCTAAGAAGACTTCGGAACAAGTCCAATCCGTCCCAAAGAAAATACTTCTGCTTAATCTAGAATTCAAAGGTGATATTGAAGCAGAAATCCTTCGCAAACGCCTCTCCAAATCGCCGAGGAAAACATACTTCGCCACAAGCCTACGACTGACGTTTTCAAGCAAGAAACTGTTCAACCAGAACGCGAAAGACAAGCTGTCGCATTGGGCCACCTCAACGTGCATATACCAGTTTACTTGCTCTTGTGGAGCTGAGTACATCGGCCGTACCATGCGCCAACTTGGAAAACGCGCTCGTGAACACTACCCAGCCTGGCTAGTAAACGGAGACCAAAAACGTGTATACAGTTCAGTGACAGAACATCTGGTAAAATCAGGACATTCAGCGCCTTTCGAAAAGTCCTTCAAAGTAATATACAAGATTCAATCAAACCTGTCAAAGGGAGTGAAATCAGGACATTTGGGCATACCTGAGGCGTTAGCTATCCAAAAACTCAAACCCACTCTTTGTATCCAAAAGAAATACGTCCAACCCCTGTCCCTGCCATGGCCAATGTAAACAGGTAAATTTTTTTTAATAATGACCATCCCATCGCCTTTCTTATCTAAACTTCCTGTTTATTCATGTTATTTTAAGTTTTCTTAATCCCTGTCTACACTACCATATTTCCATATCCACACTTCCTGTTCATTTTGTCATTTTACTATTTCTACATATTTAATCCCTGATTGCATAAACAATTATTCATCACACTAGTTTCTTATCCAAACATCCTGTATATTTTGTTATTTTTACATTTCTAACCCCCAATTGCACAATGTCAATCTTCCTAGTTATTATGCTACTTTGTTTGAGTTTTACCCATCCCCCTGTTTATTATGGTATTCTAATTCCTAATTGTAATTTTTATTAATTTAACCCGTAACCAGAAATTATTCTGGAACTTTCCCATCCATTTGATATAAATACACGAATGTACAGCCCAAATGATGACTTCGTCGGAAAGAAAATTTTCTTCGCTGCAACTGTCTTTTTGATCCCAAACGATTCGCCTACAAACATAGTAGAGGTACTTTAGATGCAGCTGCAGTCTTGCATCATAACATTGTATCCAGTCTAGACAAGGGGACTAAATTTGTTCGCTGCACCTTCCTAGATTACACATCTGCTTTCGACTTAGTACCTAGGGATACTTTGTTAAACAAGCTTGCTGAAGCCCAAACTGACTGTTGGGTTTTCGAATAGCTGCATTCGGATTTTCAGGAAGAAAACAGTAATTTGTATGTTAGGGGAAGTCGTCGACTTCACTGCTTAACGAGGCTGGTGTCCGTGAAGGCGCTGTTTTTTCTCCTTTTCCGTTTTCTTTCTTCTTGCATGACTTGGCTCACTCTGATTAGATGAATGTGTGATCAGATTGTTCGAAATGTATAGCGCAAATACATCACATTTTTCAGATAATCTCCGTCTTCTAATAATGCTATCAGAACTTTGTTAAGTATGTAGATGACCTAACTGTTTCAGTGCCTGTTAACTCCCAGCTAGATTGAACTAAGATGAACAGCTTTCTATCGGAAGTCAGTAAATGGTCTTTGTCTAAATTCTTCTAAATGTGAAACTGTTAGTTTCAGCTTCTGGTGTAAAAGAATGCTAAACAGGCTGTTAATTCCTATGACCGTTGTAGAAATGATGATGGTAGTGATATAGAAATCAAGTCTGACTTCGAGTATCTTCGACTAAGTATTTCTTCTGATCTATCCTGGTCTTCTCACGTCTCAGTGATTTCTAAAAACATGTTCCGTATGACTTTTTATATTAAGAAGTGAAGGCACTCAGGCGTAACTCAACGCCTCCTCCTCTTACAGTTTGCCAACTGCTGCATCTTACCTATTCCTCATTATTTTCCCCCTTATTCTTTCCTACGTTACTTAAAAAAGACTACGTCATACTTCATAGAACTCTGATCACTGCTAGTAGGGCTAACAATTTAGCTAATAATTTATGTGGTGGAAATAGTGTCAGGGACGAACTAACTAACCTTCTTTGCACTAGTAGTTAATAAACAATTTTCTCAATCCTTATTCCACCAAGCTTTACTGTTATTATTCTTTTTATAACAAAAATTCTCTCACTTTTCTTTGTTTATATTCTCATAAGTGTAAACAACATTTAAGCTCTGTAATAACAGTTATTTTTTTGTTTCTCCCTTCACCATGCTATTATATCAAGAGAACATTAGACTCAATACTTTATAACATGCTAAAATTCCCAAACTGTATCAACAATACTGCTCGAAATAAACCCACTGTTATTATTATTATTATTATTATTAGAGTTATTATTTCTAATTTGTACTTTACACATTTTTGACCTCTATTTCTACTGTAAATGTGGATAAATTCCTGGGGTTAATTTTTATTTACATTTTGAGTAAATTAGATGCAATATTGTGACAAGCGCGGAGAATTCCATGCAGCATTATAAGTACTGTCTTTGGAATAAAGCAGATTATTATTATTACATCCCCAATGATTACCTGATAACTAGTTTGGTGTTAGTATTGCTATAGTAAAATCCCCACAGATACAGGAGGCTCGTTTCGCATTTGCCCGTCTACGCTGTCTCTGGCATAGACGTGATATCCGGCTATCGACTAAAGGGCGTGTGTAATGCTCAGAAGTTCTCTCAGTCCTCCTTTATAGCTGTGAGACCTGGCCATTGAGAGTGGAAGACATGAAAAGGCTAGCTGTCTTTGATCACAGGTACCTGTGTTCTATCTCCCGTGTGAAGTGGTATAATAGGCTGAGCAATATTGAGGTTAGGCATGGAGTGCTGGGTGAGGAGGGGATATCAATCGACAAGGCTGTAAAGCTGCATCGACTGAGATGGTTAGGACATGTGTTCCGTAGGCCTATTCATTGCCTTCCTCTACGGGAAATGTTAGCTGATATAGGGTCAGGCTGGGAAAGAGCTAGCGGTGGTCAAACCAAAACATGGCACCAGTCAATGAAATCTACAACAGTTAGTTTAAAGAGGTCACGTAGGAAGGTGTACACTTCCTGACTGGTTGGGGTCCTCGGTACGGTAAACAAAAACCAGTGGCTGGAGACAATTGGTGATATGGCTCAAAATCGTTCTCAATGACTGGTGCAGATGCATCCATTCCTTGACTTATAATACCCAATGAAACTATATTGTTCATCGATATTACTATCCTTCTTTGTCTCTGTTTACTGTCTCTATTTTGCATTTCTTCTACTTTCTTCTCTTACTTTGTGTGCTACATGGAGTGTGATGAATTGAACTGCTGCACATTGGTGCAAAGTTCTCTGTTGAAAACAGACAGACAAACAACAGATAGTAAAATCCACAAACACGAGGAAGAAATAAGAAACAATCGGGTCACTATAAGTCCAATATTACTTACCAGGTAGTAGTTCACCAGTTTTTGCAGCTCTCGTATGCTCAAGCATATTTGTTTCTTGATCTGGTGCAAATGCACGTACAAAATCAACTGGATCAATAGACGGAATTGGATACTGTCCAATAGCCAATTCCATTAAGGTTAGTCCCAGACTCCAGATATCACTGGCTCCATTGAATATTTCGCCTATTATAAATAATAAAGAAACGAATGGATAAAATGAAGTCGCTTTAAAAATATAACTAGTGAAATTATTGATTAGTACTGAATTACTGTTACACAGTTGGAGGTAGTCATCAAGAAGCCCTCAATATATATTTTATGCTTGTTGGCATTCGTGCCAGCAAGAAGACGTATCTGCAATCTTCAAGCAACAGATGTCGCTACTGATATTTGCACCGGTATCAACCGCCTCAGGGGGAACATCAGTCCCTTTAAAGTTGCAGCACGAGACCTAGGTTCATGGCTTCTCTACCGATTGCCCCCAGCCAGCTAACATAGATTCAAAGTGAACTGCCCCGATCACAAGTCACCTAGCTCGGTGATCACACTACAGACTTGACTGATAGAATTTGATCAGTATCAACACTAAGAACTAGACACATAAAAATAGGCTAGCTGTGCACTACTTGGAGTGGTCACATTTTTTTAAGTTACTTAAGTTTACTGAGGGAAAACTCAGCTTGCAGTCTCTACACTTTTGTTATTCACTCTCCCCTTCCAATTTCTCAAAAGCATATTCTATGAAAGCACAGATGAAATAAGCTAAGAACGGTATATTTCTTATTTGCTTATTATTTATTATGACAAACTTGGTGAATTATGCGCACCAAGAGATGCAGCACACAAAATCTCATAGTTTGTGAGATGACTGTGATACTGCCCGGACGTCTGGATCGAAACAGTTGATTGTTTTAAAGGGCTTTTGACAAGAAATATGATCCACAGGGCAAAAGAACAGCGTTCCCATGGTTGCTGCTAACCAAAACTGGTTCATACGCCATTTAATCCTTTCGGACTTCTGAGACCGTATACATCATAGGTTTGAAATCATGGTTTTCTAGCCCCCTTCGGTAGACCTGTATGTCCACCACCAGTCCAGTTGTAGGCGCCAGACGTTCACATTTGCCCTATCACTTTTGTTAGGAATACCCCTGCAGCGTCAAGCCAGTGAACAGGACTTACCTGGAAGAGATTCTGAACATGGCTACGGCCACATGAAAGTATTTCGAAAGGGAAATCGAAGTCTACCCATCCTCAGCCGGAGCAGGCGCTTTATTATGGGGGTGATATTTTTTTACGTTGTAACGACACATACTGTTTTCATATCGCCCAGCACTCCATCGCTAATAATGCTTTGTTATATTCCTTCACCTGCCCAGTGGAACATAGGGCTTCAAGCTAGTGGCTTGAAGTTTCTGTAGCAGTGGTGTTGATTTTTTACAGGATGGATTTGCTAGCCTCATGCCCAACCTTTCCTCTTTGCCAAACTTATAACTGGCTCAACGAGGTAAAGGAGTGCGCAGACCGGGAATCGGACCGCGAACCACATGCGTGGTCGGCGAGCACTCTACCGCTGTTGTTGTTTTTCATTTGGTGTGTCTCAGCAGCACATTTATCACTTCTGCCCTGTGACAGTGCAGCAGGAAGCACGGTCTTTGTTGATCCGGGCCCCGACCGATCCAGTATGATATTTTGTGATTTACTTTGAGTCATAGCATTGGGTTGGGTAACTGCTTTTTGACTAACCGTTATCCCAACAACCCTTCTGGCATGGTAGGACCTCAAGCGAAATAAGTCTCAGCCAGTATAGCTTGTTGGGTCATTGCGGTGTTCAAGCCCGACCACCACATCAAGGTAGCAGCTCTACCGCTGTGCCACCGACGCACGCTAATAATGCTAACACCAGTTTATTCAATAATAATAATAATTCAGAACCTGGACGACAAAAGAAGGAAACACAAGTCGCTAGCAGAGGATAGTTTTACTGTTTCGACTTAAAACCATATCACCTGCTAACGCAAGGAAATACATACATAATTTCTTCGAAAAAAGGGGAAAAAAACCTTCATAACCAATTAGAATGTATCCTCATAGAATTAGGGGAAACATATAATGGTACTGAAGAAGAAAGAGCTAAGGGTGAGAGTACCTAAGTCAAGAGATTCTTTATATACAAGCGTACGAATATACAGATGATATCTACAATGGTCAAATGAGAACGATAAGAAATACGTGAGTAGATAAGTCGGTAAACAACAACAACAGAAAAAACGTCAAAATGGATACAACACAACGTTTGACAGTTACCATGACAACAACACTTACAACAACAATAAACAAAAGACAAGCATTGCCTCCTATACAGTCAGTTGAGCAGACAATAACAGAAGTCCAAGATACAATATGTGAAATACAAACAAAAGGAAAGGAAGAAAGACAAGGCGCCCGTAAATTCCTAAACTTCAGATTAGCTGAATGTTTACACAGAAATAATGCCTAGTTAATAATACTGGCTAGCTGAGTTTAAATACAATGCTTTACACAATAATGTAGCAGTTCAAGTTGTCACACTCCATGTAACCTACAAAAGTATGAAAAAGAAAAATTCAAAAGTACCCATAATAAGCAGAAATGGGTCACAGAAAGAATAGTAACAAGGAAAAAACATCAGGGTTTAATGGATCTGCAAGATCTCAAAGAGTGAATGCATCTGTGCCACTGAGAACGGTTCTGAGTCATATCACCAGCACTCTCAAGCCATTGGTTCCTAACATCTCGAAGATCCCGACCAGAGAGTCTACACCTACCTGTGTAGCTGACTGAGACAAACTTTCAAAGACTTTATTGACTGATTCCAGGTTTCCGTCTGATCACTACTAACTCTTTTCCAACCTAACCCTATGTCAGCTAACATTGTTCGTGGTGCCACGGCATCTATAACACGTGCCCCCGCCATGCCAATCGAAGCGGCTTCACAACCTCATCGATTGGCCTACCCTCCTTACTCACTTAACACTCTATTTTCTATAGTTCGTTTGTGAGGATTAGTTTCGGTTTTGCGAGTTGATCACGGATTGATATCAGTTAGAGAATCATTGGAAACCAGCTAGGAGTACTGGACAGCTGTTCCATCGATCCTAGTTTGCAACTCATCGGCAGTACGCACCCATTACCAGGGTTCGAACCCAGGACCTTCCGGTTACAAGGCAAGCTCGACTTTAGAGAAACAACCATTGAAAACTAGAATCTAGTGAGAAGTTGTGACCAGTGAGGTCCATCCAGATGTCACGTGTGAGGATGGAAGTCCCACCGACGAAATTGGTCGGGGTCGTGCTAAATCACGAATTGATAGAAGTTAGAATTGGGTCCCAGTAGCTGAATAGTATACGAGCTTGCCTTGTAACCGGGAGGTCCTGGGTTTGAACCCTGGTGGTCGGTGCGTACCACCGATGAATCCCAAACCACGATGAAACAGTTGTCCAGTACTCCCCGGTTTACAATGGTTCTCTAACTGATATCAATCCGTGATCAACTCGTTAACACTCTATGCCTAACGTTAGTATTACTCATTGTGTTATACCACTTAACACGGGATATTCACCACAAATATGTGTGTGGTCATGAAACAGCTAGCCTATTCAAATCTCCCACTTTCAATAGCCATATCTCACAGCTATATAATAAGTAGTAATACTTCTTATTGTTACTGTTTTTGTTGAATTTGTTTACATAACTTCTATACGATACTGATGAAAAGAATTCACGGAAATTATAAAGCATCACCACCACTAATACACATGCAGGTAAAATGAAGAGAAAAGAATGTAACATTCAGCAAAAATTGTAGTGATACTTCACATATCTTAGTAATCTGGCAAAGGCAAAGAAATAAAAAGAAACTATTTGTTTACAACAACAATACTACAAGTACTACTATTGCTAGTCTTTAAGAAGTCGAAACGAAGTATTACAAAAATTAATTTATTACCGAAAAACAAAACATTAATTACGAAGCATTTCAATTAAGCAATAATTAGACCTTATAAAGAAGAAACCACTGTACGTTGATTCGTCACTAGGGATTAATCAATATCAATTAACCTTTAGTATTGGTGCTGAATGAAGTTTGCAATGTGGTCGGTCACCAAGCAGGATGACTCAGTATCTCACGGTGTACTTTGAACTGCAGATCCCCACCTACCTTGTTGATAAGTGTCAACATACACAAACCTAGACAGGACTCCAGGTGAACATAGACAAGACGAGGGTTATGAAAATAACCAACCAACAACAACAACAGCAGCAACATCCAGTGCCAATCACCATCAACGGGAGGGATTTGAAAGAAGTTACTTCATTCACTTATCTAGCTAGGGAGCATTGTCTCAACTACAGGAGGAACGGACGAGGATGTCAAATCGAGAATCGGGAAGGCGAGAAGCACATTCATCAACCTGAAACCAATCTGGAAATCTTCGTCACTCAGCATCAGCATCAACAACAAAATTCGGATTTTAAGTACAAACGTCAAGCCAGTTCTTCTATACGGATCAGAAACTTAACGGCGGGTCACAAAGAATATTTCCAACAGCCTGTTGCAGACCTTTATCAACGACATTCTTCGCTCTATACTGAAGATCAGATGGCCGGAAAGAATCACCAACAAGAAACTATGGGGAACAAACAAAACAAGAACCAATCGCTCAACAAATATGCAGGAGAAAGTGGAGATGGATTGGACACTCACTGAGGAGGCCGCTGGATGACATCGCGCGTCAGGCCAGTGCTCGAGTGGAACCCGAAAGGGAAGCGGCGAGTGGGACGTCCAAGGGTGACATGGAGGAGATCATGTGAAGAGGAGTTGAAACAGTATGGACTAACATGGATGCAGGTGAAAAGTACAGCAGAAGACAGAAGCAAGTGGAGACGTGTAGTTAAAGCTCTATGTTCCACTAGGAACCCAAGGGAACAATAATAATAATACACAAACCTAGACGACTCAGGGTTTCCCATTAATTGCCTTCAACTAACTATCTGACAAAAGCAACTACGTACACTGTGAAAGCAGTACATTATGTACCTATTCTATGTGAATTCTCTTCGTTTTCTTTACTGATCTACTGCTGGCAATAATAAGGATTAATAGTGTTTTGCAACACTATGCAGATATTTCATTGCCTGTTCCCCCCCCCCACGCACCCTGAGAAATTGAATGCAGTTTAAACCTGTGTTAGCGTTAATCGTGAAATAATAAAATAACATTTTTAGACATATAATTAGGCTGAACAGACGATATGGGAAATATGGAAGTATGCAGATCGTCATTACTTCCTGGCTGCTCACACCACGAAAGTTGATTTTTCCTTGCGACAAGTGAAACAGAAAGAGCATTAATGTTGCGTGACTATAAAGCCTAGCGGACACCTAAGTAAGGGCAGTAACATACAGTCTGTTTCAACTGGTTTCCCGAATAGTGTCTGTATTAAGATCTCATCTTCAGCTAGAGACCACAACGTAATTCATCACATACAGTTTTCTAAGTTGACCTATTTTAACACCCCTTCCCCAGTGTATAGGAGGCAGTATAGTTGACTTGCTGGTCGTCCGAGGGATACGCCTTACTGTCATTAAATCCCTATTCGCCAGAAGTACGACTTCACCTTCAGAGCTCCAATACAGTCTGATGGATTTACACTATGACGGTAACTGATTCTAATCTAACCGCCATCCAAACAAACTTTCTGGCATGGTAGGAACCTGAGTGAATTTTAGACCTAGTCGGTGTTGCTCGTTGCGTGGCTGCAATATGAAAGTGTAACCACCGCGGTGTGGTCGGGTTAACATCTATAAACTGGTAAAAATTCCGATTGGATAGAACACTGTCTGATTCCCCACAACCATTATCCAGTTTGATATAGAACCAACTCAATCAAGTGCTTTTTTAATACAATCAGTCTTATCTGAACATAAATTATGCATAAGGACGAAGCTCATCAAAATAACACGCCGAAATTTATAAACAGATCCTAAGTCGTCTAGTTTCCGGGCTTACTAAGTTTTCGTGGATGCACTGATCATGTGTTTCCCCTATGTCGGTTGCTAGAACACCGACAATTGTTGTGTTACTTGATATTGCGCTTGTCCTCGATTCGTTGGACATAAGTGCTCTTTGGAACTGTCTCTTAGAGAGATATACTACTAAGAAAATTGTTAACACCCTGAAAGTCCTAAACAAAAACACCAGGTAGAGTGAGTCCACAAAACCAGTTATCACAGTTATTTTCCGCCAAGAGTGGAGTTAGACATGGTTACTTAATCTCAATGTTTCGCTTTAACTTTACTGTCGATAACATTGTGAAGACAGCTCTGAAGGACGTGTGTGGTGGTAGTGGTGTAGATATGCTTCCTAGAGAAAGACCTTGCGATCTTGAATATTGTGAGATAACGTACAGGCTGTATAAATCTCAGTTAGTCAGTTGACAATCAGTATTTATTAGTATGGTATGTGCTTTCCGTTAAGTGCAAAGTATTGTTGCAAGGTCAGTAAGAGACTGTACCTACACCCACTCTGGCAAGTTATCAAACTGAAGTCATCGATAAATTCGTGTATCTGCATAGTTTTGTGAGTGCTGGAAGTGTGTCCGACAGGATCTCTAACCGAACAGTAAAAGCCAGGAAGACATACATCAACCACGACCACCTCTTGCTCCATCCCGACGTTAGTTTGACTTTCAAAGCTCCAGGTTTACTATGCTTTGGTTCGTGCAGTCTCGCTCTACGCCTGTGAAACCTGGCCACTTCTGATCTAGGGTGCGTGTAACCGATCACCACTGGGGCACGTGTTACGCAATTCCAACCCCTGCCCCTCCCTCTCGATGAGCACTTAGCTGACGTAGGATTAGGTTGGTAAAGAGTTAGGGGTGGTCAAATCAAAACCTGGAGTCAGTCCATAAAATCTTTGACAGTTCAGTTTGAGCTTGGTTAGGGTCATCGAGATTCTAAGAATCAATGACCACAGACTATTGACCCAAAATCGTTCTCAACATCAAGATCATTACTTTTATATTTTATTTCAATAGACAGCAGGTAAAAGCATCAAAGTACTACTCTACCTAACTAGACATACTTCAAACGAAAAAGGTTCAACACAAATACAGAAGTGAATATATGAAAAAACAAGAATTGCACATAAATTTATTGTACAATATACCTTGGCTTACTGATATAAAACATTACTTTAATCAACACACAAAACTGCATTAAACAAAGATGTGCAAAGTGCTATTGCACACAAATTCATCAGACACTATAAACCATGGAATACCACACACACTTCACAAATATTGAGTCAAAAGAAACTGTTATCACTTACCAGCTAGACGTTCAGGTGCCAAATATGTGGAGAATCCCAAAAATCCAGACGCCACATATTCACTTAACTGCAAACTTACAACAAAATCGCATAATTTGATTATGCCAGCACGATTGATAAGTATATTGGATGGCTTTAGGTTGCTGAAATTTTTTGAAGAGAAAAAAAGTATAAATAACATTTTGTTTTAAACAAAGCTATTAAAATCTTACTAAAGTTCAACGAAATCTATAAAATTTTGACTATCTCAGTGAAAAATTACGGATGTATTTTCATGTTACTAAATAACTAAATAAGTAGTCTGTACAGATTTACTACAGCGTTCGGAACATATTAACATAATAGGCAATCAGAAGTAAAAGAACACTTATAAAATTTAATTTTGCGATAAAATACTTTTTAATTTTAACACACAACTATGCTAATAATTCTAGAATAATGTAAAACGACATAGAACTATGACTAATGCTGGATGAGAATAGATTTCACAGTAACAGTGACCACGTGAAGGAGTGCAGAGAAATGAAGCACAGACATTCAATTCCACAGTCTTTAAATGAGTGAAGCACTTCTATGGTTTAATAAATACCTACCTAATGGTTATAACTTATGCGTCAGAGTTAAGAATGTTTTCCTCCTCAATCAACATGAAAAAGCATGTGGCTAACTACTAAAAAAAGGAGGTTATTACGATTTAAAAGAATGTGATAATGTGTCACAAAGAAAACAAATACAAAACATGACTCATGTTTCAATTTTAACTTTGTCGTGCATTATTTAATGGAAAGGTGGTGTTAAGCCCACAGATAAATTTCGTATTTACATTTCTTAGTTCCTAGTTAATCCTTAGTGAAATGCTTCTCATTATAATATACGATAAATAATTTTGGATAAGGCACTTCAAACATCACACGATAGTAAATCAGTGGTCAGTTTTACTTTCATGGCAGTTGACAGCTTCAAGGTAATAAATTTCCACAGTTTCTTTCTATTAATGTATAGTAAGTCCCAGTGGATGACTGATCAGCAGGTTCAACCAGTAGCTTGAAGCTCCTAGGTTCCATTCTCGGTTAGGTTACGGATGCGTACTGATGAAGAGTACCAGACTAGGATGAAATAACTGTCGAATGCCAACTTGGTTTTCAGTGCTTCTCCAAATGACGCCAACTCGTGGTTGTAAATTAATCTAATGCTCACTAATGACTGACTACAAGATGCAGTTGTGGCCAGGAGGGTCTACTAGGCTGGATGTGTGAGGGTAAATACTAGCCGGATAACAATGACTGATGGTGGGTGGTACTATACATCACAAGTTGTTAAAAGTTAGAATTTATGGGCCATTATTAGATCCTATTGGAGTGGCTGAATGGTCACAGCAGGCTTATCTCATAAGGTGAAGGTCCTGGGTCTTATTCATGGTGGGGTTGGGGTGTACACTGTCGAAGAGGCCAAAAACAGGCCGAAACAGCTTTCCATCAATTCAGTTCATGTTACAACTTGAAAACTACATCTTTTACTGAATAGTCAACTTGGAAAGATATACGCTAGCTAGAACTTACTTATATTTAAGTGTTGGCTTATATTTATTTATATATTTCCGACGTATTTCATTCAACCTTTAAACCTATTTTTGTTTTTTTATTTTATCTCCTTATTGAGTCATAATTTTCAAGCTACACTTTGAATCCATATCTATTTGTGACAAGATTTACTATCAAAAATTTTGATAAAAAAATTAAATGTAGGCGAACAAATACCGTTTGTGATTAAATCTTCCACAAGCCTTATCTTATTCTTCTAACGCTGTACACATCATTGCACAAATAGATAGATAATGCATCAATCGGATGGTAACAAAAAAATTTGTGTATTGCACAGTTGGTCAGTGTTATGATACAACTTATGCTACTACTAATAATAGAAACAATGATAATGATAAGGTGGGAGGTAAGAATTCTGAAGAAAAAAAAGAGCATGATTTTACAACAACAAAAAATATCCAATGAGAATGGAAACCGATCGAAGTTGTAATGAAGCATTAGAAGTGTACAATACTGAAATTCGAAAGAAGCAGATAAACAGAATTTGACTGAAGACGTAATACAAACATAAAAATATCGATTAAATATTAAAAATAATAGACAATAATTTTACTGAAGAACCACTTACAATTCCATGTATTGCTGGTCATTAGCCACAACTATTGTGTGGCTGCCTACTATCGCCAATGATTTTCCTGATTGCAGTAGACTGGATAATGCGACAAACAGCGGGCAATGAGGAAACAGGCATAAAATGGACTCACACAAAAAACGTGGAGGATCTGGACTTCGCCGATGATATATGTCTGATTTCCCACAAACTGGAAGATATGCAAATGAAAAGCAACAAGTTGGCAGAAGAAGCATCAAAGATAGGACTTCAGGTGAACATAGAGAAAACAGAGGTGATGAAGATTCCTGGGCAACATCACCAACAGCAACAACAACAACAGACAACAATCAGCATAAATGGAAGGAACCTGAAAGAGACAACCTCTTTTACCTACCTGGGAAGCATCGTTTCAACTACAGGCAGACGGAACTGACGAGGATATCAAAGCAAGAATCGGAAAAGCAAGACAAGCTTTCACTACTCTCAAGTCTGTGTGGAGGTCAACACTCGGCACTCAGCATCAAAAATAAGATCCGGATTTTCAACTCCAATGTGAAGTCAGTGCTACTATACGGATCAGAGACTTGCACTGCGCGTCATAAAGAACATCTCAAACAAACTACAGACCTTCATTAACAGTTATCTTCGCTCACTACTCAAAATCAGATGGCCGGCCAGAAAAGATCAGCAACAGAGATCTCTGGCAATGAGCGAACCAACACAGCAGGAACCGATTGTGAAACAAATATGCAGGAAGAAATGGAGATGGATTGGCTGGCCATACTCTGAGGAAACAATCCATCAAGTGACATCACTAGACAAGCCATTCCTCGAGTGGAACCCGAAAGGGAAGCGGCGAGTTGGTCGTCAGTGCAAGGGTGACTTGGAGGAGGTCATGTGAAGAGGAGATGAAAACGTGTGGGCAGACTTGGAGCCAGGTGAAGACTCTAGCAGAGAACCGAACGCAATGGAGACGCACGGCTGAAGCCCTATGTTCCTCTAGGAATTAAAGGAAACAATAATAATAATAATTGTGTGAGAGATAGTCATACTGTTTGGCTGCTGAAACCTCGGTAGGTGGTGGTGCTGGATTCTAACTCTTGACGTGTTGGTTGAAAGTCAAAGTCAAGAGCCTAAACCAATGAGCCCCAGCTATACAAATGTAGAGAGAGAGAAAGAGTGGGACAGGAAGAAACTAATCTCGGTGGGGTTAAAAGCCCTAAAAGTTTCATTTGAATGCATACGTCGAAATTGTGTACTTCGAATATTGCTTACATTTTCAGTTGTTTTCGAGAGTTGAATGTGAAATGCATAACAAAGATTCATTGGGATGTGCTCAATCATCTTGTATGGTTTCATTTTGCGGCCAACTGATCAGAAAGCTCACAATAAAGAGTTGTATGAACTGTTTGTTGTTCTCCCAGACACACGCTGACGAAGCTATCTAATTCCACAGTCAATATAACTTTAGATTAAAATGAATTATCTTATTAACAGTATTATTTACTAGATTATGTTTCGAACACAATTTATTGTTCACAATCACATCACAGTTGTAACCAGAAAACTACAAAACTTGAGTTTTATATTTCTCATTGTTCATTCCCATCTGTCGTAGGAGTAGTAGAATTTTCCAGATGTCCTACAATAATTGTGAGGTCAAACACTGGTCAAAATAACAGAACGGATTCAGGTACTAAAGACCTAGCGAAATCTAGACTAGTAGACTCCCATAAGATTTTTACAAATTTAGAAAACAGCTCAGCTATAAAGCATCGCATGCAGTTATACACAACCACCACACAATAGGATAGGATAAGATGACAGTTTCAAAGTTTAACATAAAAGTGTACAGGGAGAGATATTGATAACTGAAGCTATTTTTCATCGAATCAACTGAGAAAACATGTAGTAGAAATGACTCAACACCTATTCAGAACATCTGGAAATTCTGGTGCCTTTACGACAAATTTGGAAAGAAGAGAAAAGGACTACAAAAATTAAATTTCGAAGTTATGCACTTACAACCGATATTATTATGAACAATACATTCTGTTTAAAACCTCAGTCTTCTATAGATGTCGTGCATACCAGGCTTGTATCACTCATCAAGTCGTTAAAAATTTGTAACACAGTCATTGTTTTAGGGGATATAGAATTAGATGCATAAAAATTAGTTATATGAACGCAACTGCAGTCATATTTACCGCAGTCATTTCAGCTAAGCATAAGACTAGACACTAAAATTTGGATCACGCAATACATGAGTAACTCTTGTTACTAAAACAAATTTTGTGAGATTGCCTGAAGTTGACAATCACACGCTTAGGTCGTATCATGAATTTTAACAAAAAGGCATATATGCTATTTGGTGGATGATAACTAGCACTGGAATCTAGGATGCGTGCTTCGTCCTATACAGGACTCGTCATCTGGATATGTATGTCTGCAAACCCCAGTAAGACTCGAATCCAGTACCCATTGTTTCAAATGCCAACGCATTATTATCCATTAGAAGAGCACTTGGGCCACGACAACCACCTGTACATCGAGGATAAGTTATTACTTTGTTAAAGCCAAATATTTCAGTCCAATTGATCAACGAGGGTAAGAGTTAAACACTCTATCGATTAGCGCATCACGTTTTGGTACAAAACAACTTGATTCTTCTTCAGACAGGCCGATAACTGCTACCTTGCCGTGGTGGTCGGGATTGAATGCCGCAGTGACCCAACAAGCTAAACTGGCTGGGACTCGTGTCCCTGCAGGTCCTACCATGCCAGGAAGGTTGTTTGGATAGCGGTTAGACTAAAAGCAGTTACTATGGGGTACATGGGCTCCAGAATCCAATAGGATCAAATGGCGTACGCACCCATATGGGTCACCGGCAACCACGGGAACGCAGCACCTGACGCTGCTCCGCTGCCTTGCGGATTAGACTCCAAATCAAAGGCTCGGGGGGTGGTCCCTTAAGGAAGCCACCTGCTCC